AGCTACTTGTGTGCCTCTTCGAACAGCTCCTTCAACGAAGCCACCATCACTATTGCTAACTTCACTGTTGCCTAGCCACAATCGACCATTCCATTGTGGTTGTCTACATTCATCACTTACATATGCATGGCCACCGGTATTGTCATTTACTGAGGATGATGTGAATACTTCGCTACTCCAATCGATCATATATACAGCTGTCGGATTCATTGCCTCATTACCAAATATTTCGACAGCAGCATCAATCACTTGCTGTTTGGTTGTACCAGCCAAACAGAAAACAAAAAGAGCATTGCAACTATTACTACTGGCATCGTGCCATTCTTGAGCTTTGCTATGACGCGATACAGCAAATCCACTCAAATTTTGATCTTTCCACCATGCACGCTCGTACTGTAGAATAGCTTTACATGTTGATGCCATCCATGTATCACAATTATTGAGCTGTTTGATGAGTGATGGTGATAATTCGGGTGTTAAATTTATAGTCGATATTAATAGTTTGGGCGGTAAAGCTAACACCACATAATCAGCTAATATTGAACTGTTGTTACGTAACTTTACATTAATAGTTGTATTAGTTTCGTATGCAATAGACATAACCGGTGAGTTAAGTGCTATAGTGACTGTTGTTCGATTTTTTGTAGTTAGTTCAGTGAGTATTGCAGTACACAAACTACTTGTTCCACCTTTAAGACGTTTAGCACCGTGATGAATGCTACCTAAGGTCATGCGTTTAATACCACTATATCCGGTACTAATAAGTGACATTCCACTTTCATATTGATTGATTGTACTAATATTAAGCTCATGTGCAAGTGAGAGTGCGGCAGTGTGAGATGAAAAGATCCAAGATGCGCCCAAATCAAGATTAAGTTCAGGTATACTCAATGTTCGACCACCGACTCTGTCACGTGCTTCGAGCACTGTGATTTTATGTGGCCGTTTCTTGAGTAAATGTGTTAAATGTCTAGCACAAGTTAGACCAGCAACACCAGCTCCAACGATTACAATATTAAATGTTGAATTCGATGAAGATTCTTGACTGATCTTATCTGCGTTATTCATTGCTTTAAATAAAATTAAAAAAACGTTTGCCGACATACAAACAGTCGCACACATTTGTCAATCATTCAAGACCTCAATAATATCTCTCGTTTATTTAAGACAATGCAATTCTCAAAGTTTTAAAAACACTACACTTATTCAGTTGGGACTCGATTGTAAACAATTCTGATGGAAAAGTCTCTAGCAAAATTTCTCAGCAGTGAAAACTAATTATATTAACAATTGTTTCATAGACTTTGTTCTTTCAGCAACAAAAAAAAATTAACCATAATTCATGTTTCTAAGTCATGCTTCCGAATTGAATTTTTTCATCAGATCTTATCGAGACAAGATTGTTTAAAAAATTAAACCGAGTATTTCTTTGTATTCCTCAACCGCATTAATTGAGCTTGACCATTTACTCGAAATTCTTCGTTGAAAGTAGTGTTTCTTATATATATAGCACTTCTCAAAATTATCGGAATTTTTAATGACGAAGTCTAATAGAAAACAATGTCTGCTGCACTATGAAATGTTTTCAAGATTCCAGTATGATTTTGTCAGAATGAAAAGACTACTTCAAAGCAGATCCTACTTTTCGTTATTCGAAAGACGCACACAAATAGTTTGAAAATGTTTCCAAAAGTTTTGCAGTGAGAACTGTACAAGATTTTGGAAGGTAAAATGTTATACTTATGAAACTGTGCATTAATATTTGGAGAAGTGTATTCTTTCTGATAAAATCCTAACGGAAAATTGGAAGAATTCCATTTTATACTATATATTATCTGTTTACTCATATAAATTTCTAGTTTGTAAAGAACTAAGATTTTTCTGTTGGAATTTCAAGCAAGCAAAAGTTGACACATTTTTACTAAATATGAGCTTTCTCAATCTCGACCATCATATTGAGGAATATGATTTTTATATTCGGATAGAATAGAACTGAATGCAGATATCAATCGTCGAAGTGAAGAAAATGATTAAAATAAAATTACAATATAAAAACATGCGTCATTCTTAAAATTGCGAGCAGTATTGTAGATGCTCATTGTGAAAAACATAGTAGTAATTACCTAGCCACACATGCACTACTGGACGTATAAGCTAAAAGTCGAAGTATTTATCCTCAAAAGGAAAATAACATTGAAACATCTTGTTCACAGATGTCGCGGCTCGTTTAAATATAGACATTATGTGTTCTCTTACTTACCATTGGTAAAGTCTCGATAGTTCATGGATGCCATTCTGTGAGTTGTGCGTCGACGAAAATTTTTCTCTGTTGAAAGATAATAGTGTTATGTGGGAGAAAAACGCATGCTCTTATATATGCTACTACTAGCGTCTGGAAAGGAAGAAAAAGGATGATAAAAATGCATCGTCATCATGAGATTCAGACGCCAACGCTCATTTCTCATTTCTTTTTCTTCTTTCTTCTATCACATATGTTTTTCTCTTGTAAAGAGACAAACTAAGCGAAAGATCGAATACTGATGAGTAAGAAATGAAATGAATCATTTCTTTCTTTCAAAAGGTAGAAGACAAAAGAATAGAGTTTTATAATTCGAAACCACGAGAACTACTGAAATTTGAAGCATATAGAGGGGGGCGCAATATCTCTTGAAACTTGATTCATCGGTTGCATTTCTCCAACGCATGCGCTCGAATGTTTTGATATAGTAGTCATTAAATAAATATTGAATAACTAACGATGCAGTTGTGCAATTGGAACAATGTTTGACTATTAATATGAGTCACACTTTAATCTAATCATAGTGTCATACAGGCGTGCAGAATCTACCGGTGTGCGCGAACGACCGGTCGGGGAAATTTTCAAAAATTTAGTAACATGAGGGAAAATTGAATACCATCTGAGAAAACTTTTTGATAAGTATTTTCTCTCATGGGGAAAATTTTTCAATTTTTTCAACGAGTCTAGATTTATTTCTATATATATCGATAAGACTTTTTACTTTTCTTTTTTCTTTTCTATTGCATAACTATCTAAAAGATCGATCCGTGTCTCTATCGTAGTGTCAGTATCACCTATTTTTGTTTACGTTCATCACGCATCTTGTCATTTCTTTCACTGTGTCTCTTTGTGCCTATTCTTGATACGACACGCACTATTTGTTCTTTTCTTTGCTCTCTATAATTCTACCTATTCGAATGCTACTGCTTGCTGTTTTTTCTCTGTCACCACATAGAGTTGCTATTGTATGAGCGTATGCGTACACAATCACTAAGATGACTAATATACGGTTATCGGCGATCGAATTGAACCATTTTCTTTTTTGGTTGGAGATCAGTTCAACTGAGATTTACTTCTAAAAAATAAATTTGGGCTCGGATCGGTGTGAGTGTGGGTGTGGGTCTTCTTCTCACCCACGCACCTCAAACTCACACCCGCATCCACACCTACCTATCCACATCCATATCTATACCGCACTCATATCCATACGCACACTCCACACTCCCACTCTACCACCATCCCCGCACCACCTCCATTTATTTTGACCACGAGGATATATATACGCACAAACATTTGAACCTTATTTATTCATTTATACGTATGTAAGTAATGTTTTCAGGATAATAATACATTCGTGAGTAATTTTTCAAAACGATTGATTTATAAAAGAAACCTCTGTTAACTCCTTTTTTTTTGTTGGACACCAAAAAACAGTATGCTTATAATGATCATTTATTATAAAGAACTACAATTGTGTTTAACATAT